AACCTCAAACCGCAAAACCACCTCCACTGTCCATGTGAGTCATATTCTAATCATGTGAGAGTCTGGGCTGCTCGTGTCTAGGAGCACGGCTGATATATCAGTTTTAACTCTGCAGAGGTGTACACTTTCACTTCAAGTCGTGATTCCCATTTTCCTGGGGTCGTGACTCCCCAAAACACTACCAAGGTGAGCAGGCAGGGTTTCACTACGAGACTGTTCACATTTCCTACTAGTAGATAGCAACCCGCTAAGGATTCCCCAATAGAAGGTAAGATCCCTCCTCCGATTCCCCAATAGAAGGTAAGATCCCTCCTCCAAGTGGTGACTAACAAGAAAACCAAGAAAACCAAAATGCACCACCTTGGTAGGTCGAGATCAAACCAACCAGGGCCCCTCTTGCGCCTACTCAGTAAGCTGCCACAAACGAGCAGAAGGTCTACTACGTCAAGCCAGAGCCATGTGGCTTGAAGCTATACTGTAAGTCCTAGGTGGCCGCTCCATGAACAGGTCCTTAGGGAGGGCAGACACGGGTACCCCCAGAAAACTAGCCAAGCTCCAGTACCTGTTTCCCCTTCATCACCATAACTACGATGCTATAAAGCATCTTTACTTCACCATCATTATAGTAGCCATTAATCACCATCATAGTAATCATTAATCATCATTAAAGTAGTCATTAATCATCATTACTTTCATCAACATGTAATAGTTGTGAGTGGAGCGGCTAAGCATAACTACACTACCCAAGTATTGAACCCCAGGTAACACAAGGAATGTAGTAAAGGGCTAGTCATGTCCTTAGGGTTTGTAATATTAGACACATGCAATGAAAATAAAAGTGAATTATAAATAAATAGGTACAATATGATCAAATGGTGCCTGCACTTGCCTTTTTCCAAAGTTTAGCTACTCAGAAGTCTTTGGCTTCTATCTTCTGGTCTCCAACTTCTGTTGCACTTGTCGGTCCTCAGCTCCTTATCTTCAGCGCTAACGGACCATACCTCATCGGAGCTTGGTGGAACGGTAGCTACGGGGCTTAGCCGGGCACGCGGGTCGTACCAGCGCGTAGCGCTCAACGACGCGAACTCTGCTCGGGTGCTTGCATTGTCCACCGGTGGCTGGAGACGGTGACAAACATGGTAGGGCGGCTAGAGGACAGCGACGCTACTCTGGCGAGGTCACGTGGACATGAGAGAAAGAGAGAGCAGGCGGGAGAGGTGCCAGTGGCTTGCTCACCTTGAGGAGAAGGCCGTGGAAGGGATCTCGCTGCCAGCGGCATGACGGTTGCGGAGATCGATTGTGGTGGTAGCTCGGCGAATCAGCGGCGCGTGTTGAGATGGCGGCGCGTGGGCTAGGGTTCCAAAGGGCACTACGGCGCACTAGGGACCTCCATTTATAGCCGTGAGGATCCCTGTTTTGCGTGCTCGGGGGGGGGACGGACGACGACGATGGTGTTCTCGTCCGCTAGATGCGGATGGGCCCCATCGCTGACGAGCAGGACCCGGGCTACTGCTGCGGCGCTCGGCTAGGCCGTGGCCCATCAAGGCGTGGGCGCGCGCGGGTGTTAGGGCAGGCCGGGGAGTGGGCTGCTGGCCAGCTGGCCCAGCTGCTGCTGGGCTTGCGCGGCGGGCGAACGGATGGTGGGGCGCTGGGCTGGGCCACTACGCGAGGGTGAGGGGGAGAGGCCAGCCACGGGCCGGGCTGCCAACTGAAGCAGGCTAAAAGCGAGGAAAGGAAAAAGAGAGAGAAAGGAAAAGCCTTTTCTTTTTACTAAAAGGATTTCAATGCACTTTTCCAAAACAATTTTCAAACCCTTTTTCAAACCAAAATTTGAGAGGTATTTTGAGGTTATTTTGGAACATGTTTTTAGTTTATTTTTGAAAACTAAAACATATTTTCTTTTAACTACAATTTAAAATGTTTTTCAAGCTCAAAGTTGAACTAGTTTTCAAATAGGACTTTTGAAGTTTTATTTTCAAAAACAAAGGGGACCTAATCGTGGCTTGCTCGAATTTTAGAAATTCATTTTTCACACACAACAAAGACAAAGCAAGGGCACAAAGGCAACAAACCAACCTTCATTAACTTTATAAAAGTTTTTTTATAAATCCATATTTTTCTCATTTTGCAATGACAACCATTAATTAAATCGTGGAAAATTCTAGAAAAATATTAAATCCTTTATTTTATTTAGTGTTTTCTAATAACAACCTAAAATAGAAATTTTGGGGTGTTATACATTTGAATCTATAAATAGGTTTAATATGAAAATATGTGACGTGATTAACCTAATGATATCAGTTCTGGTGTCATAAACATTTGTACTTTTTGTATATATTTGATCAAATTTAAAATTGTTTAACTCCTCGAAATGCAAGATGTGCACTTATTTTGAGATGGAGGGAATAGTTACATAGGATAGGACTGCATTGCTCACACAGGCTGAACATTTTATGGGTTGGCTCATTACCATAGGCTGGCGCCCTGCCACTATTTTGTGGGTTGGCTCTCTAATACAAATTATGACAACTGGCCTGCCACTATTTTATGGGTTGGCCTCGTTTACAAATTATGAAAACCAAACCGAAGTCATTCAGATATTTACATATGCAAGTAGTAACTGACTAAATGAAGTGAAAATTTCTACCACTAACACAGCTCCAACTTTCATGTGTCAAAACAAACAAATAAACTAAGTCATTCAGTTATTTACATATGCAAGCAACAAAGTTCCAGTAGGCTGCCGTTTTGGAGACAGGAATCGTATTTTTATCAAAATCGACAGAACTGATAGTAAGTTCAAAATCAGCCAAAGGTAGCTAAGAATTGGTGGTGACTTGTTTGGATTTGAGAATGCCACTTTGAAGGTCTAGTGAAAACACAGGATCAATACAAACTGAGAATACCTTCTTAGCTTCTGCATAGAGGCACATTCCAGCAACGTCTTATAATTTGGAACAAATCAAGTACATAATATTGCAAAATAAGTAAGCTTCTTTTGTGTCTACTTATTCTCACCCCTCTTTTTTTTATGAATACAGGAGGGGTTGCCCCCCTACTGGCATTTATTAATAAACAAAAAGCAAGGCTTTACAAAGGGTTTCACGAAACAAAGAAGAAAATGAAGAAAATAAGCAAAATTACACATGCTTCTAGCCATTGACTAATATGAGGTTCATATCCGGTTTTTGCTCTAAGAATAACTTGAGAAAATTCCCTCTTGAAGATGGCTTTGCAATGTTGAAGAGATGGTTGAATATCCCTGAAAGTAAGGTCATATCCAGTTTTTGCTCTAAGAATAACTTGAGAAAATTCCCTCTTGAAGATGGCTTTGCAATGTTGAAGAGATGGTTGAATATCCCTGAAAGTAAGGTCATATCCAGTTTTTGCTCTAAGAATAACTTGAGAAAATTCCCTCTTGAAGATGGCTTTGCAACGTTGACCAAATACTCCAACACATCGTGATCAAAATTTCCAAAGCAAATGAACAGTGCAGCTGGGTTCTAAACATGACAATTGTGGCATATTGATCTTCAAACTGGGGGACCAGCAAGCCCAAGCTTGCCCAACAGGTCTGTGCAAAGGGGCAGGTGAGAAACAAATGTGTGACAGTTTCTTCAGTTGGTGATGTAGCACAAAAAACACAATTGTAGTCTTCTAGAAACATATTCCTCCTTCTCAAAAGCTGCCTAATACTCAATTTGTCTCGAAGAAGAAGCCAAAATAAAATCTTAGGCTTGTTCTGACAACTAGTCTTCCAAAGCCATCTAATAAACACCAGATGAACTTGTGGTGAGCCTGTCAAATGTTTGTAAGCCATCTTAGAAGAGAAGACTGAAGAACCCCAAATATATGTCCATTGATCTGGTTCACCCCTCTTAGTCGGTCACTCTCTCCCCCGTTCTCTTACTTGTAAAACCACTTCTTTCATCTCTCTTAACCTGTCATCCCTCGCTCCCGCTCTTGTGTCTTAGTCCCCCACATCCTCTTCCGTCCCTCGATCCGTTATCCCTCAGTCTCACTCTTCTTGCTTTCTTGATTGTCAGACATAGACCCATGGGGAGTCCAAGATTCTATAGACTGTACAATCTTCCTATTACAATTTGGACATGCAAAATGGACATGCAAAACCTTTGTTGGCGCTGCTCACGTCGTGGCTAGCCACTTAAACCCGAGGCTGTGCCGTGATGCGTGGTTTGAGGCTGGCCTTCTATCTTTGTTAACGTCGCAATATATACACACAATAGCCACATATTTAAGCCCACTTTGGCACGGCTCATGCAAAACGGCTTCACCGGTGAAGCCAAAGCTGGTGAAGCCAGAAAAACTGGCTTTTTCCGGCTTCTAGTTCATTTTAACCTCGGCTTACAAAACGGCTTCACGCTACAGTGCCTCGATTTGCGCAAAATAGATGAAGCTGAAACCGGCATAAGCCGTGCCAAAGAGGCCCTTAGTACGAGCCAATCTCTAGTTAATTCCTCACATTGAATTTATTTCTTTATTGCATATAGCATTCATTACGACTAGCCTTATAATTTATTTGATTTATTATTTGAAATAAAGATGAGTTAATCCTAATTAAATTTAATAAAGACAGCTACTAGCTCGTTATCAATTATAGTACAGGCCGATTACTTTGATCGTGCAATAGGTTCTCCGTTTTGAAAAAACACGTCTAAAGTACAAGTATCTTTTTTTTTTTGCGGGACAAAGTATAAGTATATCTTTGAAAAGCACATCCTTTACCTTTTTTATATCTTGCTCTATTATTTTTTGCCCTAACGACTCATACGCACTCCACTCCAAACTAGACGGACGCTGACGGAGGACGTGTCCATGCGCAGCTCGTGGTGGTTCCAGTGTCGCTGTCGCGCGCAGCATATATGATTTACGCACGGTACAAGCTATCATCTAATCTGAGGTAGAACTAATCCGAGTTCTGATGAGAGACGATCCCACAGGTAGAAGTTGAAGTAGAGCTACGCGAAAGCTGTGGCCATATGCAGGACATCAGCAATGCTCCAATGCCGCCTGGCCACCGGCTGTCGCCGGTGGTCATAATCAGCGCCTTTCTTGTCCTTCTCGGCGCCGGCGGATCGCTCCTCATCCGTGTCTACTTCGTCCAAGGCGGGCAGAGCCTGTGGCTTTCCACCATGATCCAGGTGTCCGGCTGGCCGCTCCTCCTCCCGCCCATATGCATCTCTCTGCTACTCCGTAGCCGCCGCAGGGACAGGGACGGCGGCTACAGTATCGCCGACGACCTCCTCCCGCCTCGTCTCGTTGGCGCCGTGGCCGTCCTGGGGGTTTTCTTCGCGGTGGCGTGCTACGCGTACTCGCTGGGCTCGCAGGCCCTGCGCCTGACCACGTCGTCTCTGCTGCAGGCGACGCAGCTCGCCTTCAACGCGCTCTGCGCGTTCGTGTTCGCCGGGATCCGCTTCACTCCCTTCTCGGTCAACGCGGTCGTCCTGCTCACCGTAGGCCCGGCGGTCCTCGGGGTCGGGCTGTCGTCCGACGAGAAGGTGGCGGGCGAAGGGTCGAGGTCGAGGGCGGCGTACTGGGCAGGGTTCTCCGAGTGCATGGCCTCGGCCGCGCTGATGGGGCTCGTGCTGCCGCTCCTCGAGGTCGCCATGTCGAGGTACGCGCGCCGGACTGGCCCCGGCGCCTCCGCCGCCAGAGCGCCTCCCTCGTACTTGACGGTGATGCAGGTACAGGCCGTGATGGGTGCGGCCGGCACGGTACTGTGCCTGGTCGGCATGGCCGTCATGGAGGAATTCCAGGCGGTGCCAAGGGAGGCCGCTGCGTTCGGGCTCGGCGAGACCAACTACTATTCGCTGCTCATCTCTGCAGCCGTTTCCTGGCAGTTCTTCAACCTGGGGATCATGGGGCTCATCGTCTGCTCGTCTTCGCTCCTTGCCGGCATCATGATCGCGCTTGTCCTGCCGCTCTCGGAGGTCCTCGCCGTCATCTTCCTCCACGAGAAGTTTGACGGGGTGAAGGGCGTCGCCCTGGTGCTCTGCCTCTGGGGCTTCGTCTCCTACCTCTACGGTGAGAGCGCACAGAAGCAGGCGACAAAGAGAAATGAGGACCCCTTGTCGATCTGTTGCCCCTTGATCACCACTCGTAATAACTTTTAAATACTCATATTTTGTCCCACGGTTGGAATTGCTCAGAGGATCGTGCTAGCTATGCAGGAGAATACGTCCACACTGTCCAAACAATCACATGACAACACGCACTTCATGCATGTGGCAGTTAACAAAGGAAACTCTGCTGTGTCAGGACTGAGGAGTGAGGTGCTACAATGAATCAAAATCACATGATCTGCCGGCTAAAGTGCATCTAATAGTAATGGCTCTGATTTTTAACAGACATGATAAACATTGTTTGCTTGACCAGAAAATACATCCCAGGCTCTCCAATTTCTTGTCAAGGGTCGATTTGGAGGGGCTCCAACCGGCTCAGGTTCCAGCTCCCGCCCTGTAGTAGTACTGTGACGGAGCCGGCCGGAGCCCCCAAACCTCAGCTCCTCTATTTCTCTGTTCATTTTTTAAGGAGCCAAAGTTGTTTTCCCGGTACTAAGCAGTATTGTATAGTATTCTTGGAGACAGAGACGGAGCACCTGAAGCCGCACCAAAGGCGGAGGCGCCCTAAGTCCAACAGCTGAAGTTTATCGATTGAATCTAGCACCAAAACATGCTCCTAATCTCTGTAGTTAATAGCTGATGGCCTTATCTACTATCAACTAGTTCAATAGCTGATGACATTGTCAAAAACTAAGTCCAATATGTAAACTTCTATTTCATCTCACAATCTACAAAATGCTTATTTTAGTCAAAAAGTCATAATAAGCTTGACATCAGCGTGTTGAGGGGGTGGGGAGTCGGTGGGCGGGGGTGTGACGTGTGAGCATGACCTCTGCCAGCCCCACCTTGTACCTATATATCATATCATAATACTCCGTATTGAAACTAGTCTATCAAGAGTCCCGTGATAAAGGAACACATTAAAAGTTGCATGAAAATTTTCATAAAAATATGGATGAATAAATGATGCAATAACTTTCTCATATCCTATATAATAGTCTTATATATTATAACATAAAATAAACAAATAGAGCACCTTTTTTCCAATTATACATACTAGTCCGTCAACCAGTTCTTCTATACAGACTATATAAATTTTAAGGGAAAAAAGTAAAACGTTACTACCAGCTGAGACGTGGTGAGGTATATACCCAAATTACCCATATATTCTATTTTTTGTTGTCCAAATTCCCCGGGACCCAAAAATTAAACAAGGACTCAAGTCCAATTATTACTATATATAAACTTGGTTGGGCTGTGAGCCGACGCCGACGTTGGTTTGGATAAATATGAGACCGAAACGGAGTTTAAGGATCGGAATAACATATTTTTTGAGTTCGAAGACCAAAATAACACACTGCAACAAGTTTGAGAACCTGTCATGGATTTTACTCAAGCTTAAATAAAGCTAATGAAAAGCTGGAGTCTTACAATGTACTCATTTTAGGCTTGTCCTGATAGGTTTGGATGGTCTCGAGGCTTAGATCGATCTTGGCTACGGATCGGACACTCCAATAAGCTTAAACTTGAGGCAACAATTAACTCAAAAAAAAAACTTGAGGCAAAAAGCTAGCTCGAGCTTGGCTCATTTACAACCTACGGTCGTATATTACAGGTTGATGGCACATCAAAAAATAAATGTTAAAAAAGACTGATACGAGTTTACGACGTGGACGTACATTACAGGTTGATGGCACATCAAAAATAAATGTTAAAAAAAGACTGATTACGAGTTTACGTGGACATACACGGGGATGTTCGACAGGACTGAAAAATAAGCCAAAATATTGTTCTGGCTGATTGTTGTGAGAAAAAAATACTGTTCTGTCTGGACATGAACAATGTTTCTGTGAGTGAGCTGGCCAGGTTCAAGACGTGCGCGATTACTGATAGGGAGTGTCTATGTCTACCTGACAGTTTAGTTTCAACCCTTTTTATCATCAGTAGCTACGTCCTAGAAATTGTACGTTTAATTAACAAAAATTATTTCCGGTGTCAACTTTATTTTTCACATACAGAACATAAAAGGACTGATTTTCTTCTTTGTTTCAGCCGATGACGCAAGACGAAGCACTAGATAGTTGAGACAAGTTTTTTTTTTATCATGTCGTTTACTTTCACAAGACGAAGGGACTACAAAGTTCATCTCTGGGTTGTAAATGTATTTCATTCGATTCAACATGAAAAAAAAATATGAATCTTGATTGAAATATTGTGAGCTGAGCGATCGAGTGTGGCAATAACCAAAAACCATAGGAGCAATTGGTTCAGTTACAATATAAATATATAATAACTGGAAAAAAAATGAGGGGGGCTTGCCACCATAGCAACATTTTGAAATATCATTGCCACAATACCATCCAAATATATGGTACTACCTCCATCCCAAATTAAAAGTCATTCTAACTTTCTTAAAGAATCAAACAATATCAAGTTTGACTAAATTTATATAGTAAAATAATAATATTTATGATACAAAATAAGTATCATTATATTCTTCGTTAATTATGTTTTTTATAGTATACCTATTCGATGTCATAAATCTTTATAATTCTCTCTATAATTTTGATCAAACTTAAGATGCTTTGACTCTCTAAGAAAGTTGAAATAACTTGTAATTTTGAACAGAGGAGTGAGTACTAATTGCCAAAGTAGGGCGTCACACAATTGGATGGTATTTTTGGGAATCACACGTCAGCATATGCAAATTAATATAATCGAGGTAATTTTGCCGAAAATGGAACATAGGCTAGAATCAATTCTTAGATATTTGTACTGTGGTGTATTTAATTTGATCATAAAAGTCAAATGAGAATGATATTTAAATAAATATAAAATACGGAAACCCATCAGTGGTTCCATCATAATAACTACTAGACGAAAACGAATGTACAAGAGGCAAGAACTTCATTTCACACACCATGGCCCCCACAAGGTCACAATCGGTACTTTAACAATATCCCAGTCACCAGAAGATGACGCGTGGAAATGTTAGAACCAAGTTCTTGAAATGAGAGGCAATCATGCATCGACCTGGAAATGCAATGATGCAATACTACAGCACGCAAGTAGCTAATTGGTGTGACAGTGAGGTCACAAGCACAACCAGAATATTAAATTGCTCCAGTGAGGTGGGGTTATGTAACACCTCTGGTGTTATAAGGTTAATTAAAATTTTGATCATGAGCATCATAAAGCATAATCATCAAACATTATGTCAAGAATGCACTCCATGTTTCAATTATAGCATGTCTAGGTCGCAAATAGGGTGTTTGATATGATACATGAAATGTTAGCAATAATAGTGATTAAGGTTCTTTGTGAATTTATAGATTAATAATTTGCCTAAACAATTAAAATTTTTGCTAAAATAAACTTTGTAGATCAAAGTGTGTACTTTCATATGGAATCAAAGTTTGATGATGTTTATAAGTCAAGCATGTTTAAATTTGAGCTCAAAGATTAGATTTGATGCTGAATTTCACAGCCATTTTGACTGTCCCTGAAAAACAGTTGTTAAGTTTAATTTTGGTAGAATTATTAAATGAATTTCCATGAATAAAATTTGTCCAACTTTTGTTTCATTGGTTGATGTGATGATTAAGCTTTAATAATGTGTAATTAGTTGTAATGGTTGACTAATGATTGTTCACTAATTAATTCCCAAAGTTGTTAAGCAAAAATTGGTTTCCTCAATACCCTAACTGAATTCAGTCTTTGTTTCAAAGTACATGTCTTTAAAAATCAAAATCTTTCAAACCATCAAGTTTTGGATGATGAACTTTTAAGCAATGTTGGAGATCTCATGTAGATGAACAACTTTGCTTAAGGCTGCTCATCAAGTCGTTTTGTAAAATCGCGAGAACAAGAGAAGAGAAGATGGAGTTTCAGTCGGTTAATGTTGCTGCCGGCAGCAGTCTGCCTGCTCGCTGTCGGTGGCCACCCTCCAGAGCCACTCTTGCGCACGTGGCACACAGCTGCTTCGGTGGTGCGCGAGCAGCTGATGGCGCGCCTAGACATTTCACCCACGTCATTTTAAGCCCGCGCCGATCGCCATCCCCTCCTCTTTCCCTCTGTTCCGCCGCCGTCGCATTCCTCCAGTCACCGGCGAAATTCATCGCCACCGCTTGCTCTCCATCCAAATTGCTCATGCCATCAGCTGCGCATCACCCTTGCGCTCATCCTTGACCTGCTCGCGTCGGCCCGCCTCACCAAAATTAGCCACACGCACCGTTCCCGCTGCGGCCATGTCGCCATGGCCGCCGAGGCCACCCCACCGTGGCCAACCTTTTGTGACGTACCTCCCTCCTCTTCGTTTGTTGTTTTAGCTCCACCGTGTTGCCATGATGCTCACCGACCTTTTTGTTTTGTCAGACACGTGTCGGAGCCACCAGAACGTTGTCCTTACCACCGGTTCGTGCCGCCACGTCTGCCCTAGACGTCGACAGCGTCTTTGCTCCACCTTCTCTTCAACCGTGAGGTCGACCAAGTCTAGGTGAGCATGCTAGAGAGATCCCTAACCCTATATTGGCCAGCCGACCGCTGGAGCACCGTGTCTACCGCCCACCGCCGTGCTATATGCCATCGAGCCGCCATGGCCGTGGCCGAGCACGCGTGAAGCCCTAATCCATTCAACAGACGGTACGACTTAGCTATGGTCTAGCACCGTAGTAAGAACTGGAAGATGAAAGATGGTGAAATGGTTCTGATTGCTCCACCCTTGCTTGAAAGTAGAATAGGTGCTTACGTAGAATGGTTACCTAATGAAGTATTAGTAATGCTTTTCGCAAACAAAATAATACAGCAAACATATATTGCTTATCATACTCCTTGGAGTCGGAAAGCTATTCCCACTAGTCGGGTAAGTCTAGCGAGTACATTGTGTACTCAGGATTTATTTTACCCCTATTGCAGGTACAGCTTGAGGAGTAGTTCTTATGTGGAGGATTCTTCTGGTGGGCACAGACGGATTTTTGTATCGTTTCCGCTAGATGTTTACTTTTATTTTGCTGTTTAATTATCGCACTCTGAATTCTGGTATTATAATAAAT